GAGGTAAATTTTTGGGGCCGGAGCTGGTCGTATCTCGAAAATTTCATAAGTAGGGGCGTTCATAAGTAGAGGTACCACTGTATTGGATAGGCTGTGCAACTCCTTAAACCAAATGTGCCTCTGTCTCAGGATTGTGCTGTGGCACACAATTAAAAAAAAGCGCCCCTGTGGTCATAAGTGTGGGCAGGCTGCCAAGTACCCAAATTCTGATCATGTGACCATGGGGGTGCTGCAATGGCCGCAAATTCAGGACCAGGCATAACTACCATTCGTTCAGTGCTCCCCTGACTTTGAATGGTCGCTGAACGAATAGTTGTTAATTGAGGATTACCTGTACAGAGCACCATAAGCCCAGATGTCCTTGCCAATGTGGAACTTCTTTCTTTAGCTAAATTGTGGTATTCCTGCTATTTTCGCACACAGTTCTCTTAACAGTTCCCAAACTTCATGATGACATTGGTCTTCTAGTTCAGGTATATAATGGTATTACACAGGAAAACACTAATAGGTTTAAACACCTCACTGGTACACAAAATCACAGAACTGGTTAGAAAACTTACTTTTGGAGCAGGCTGGGTTTTTGGTTTTTGAAAGAACCGGGTGATTTCAGCCTTTTCTGCTTTGAGGCGCTGGATTAAAAAATGGACAAAATTATATGTCACAATCCATGAAATTAAGAATACCACTGCAAACAAAGCCTTCTCTAAGAGAAGGCAAACTTTGTCCCTGCGTGATGGTAGAGCACTTCTTTTGAACTCTGCACTCTTGCTGGAACTGAACAAAAAAGGGCTGCTAGCTTTACCTTCTCTTCCTCCTTCAAGCGCTTTTCTTCTTCTTTTTTCCTTTTCTCTTCTAATTTCGCCCTTCAAAATAAAGCCCAGATTTAGGAAATAAAGGTTTATTTAGGAAAAAAGGTTGAGGTTTAGGAAAACACAAGCATCAGGATCGTTCAAATGTGACTCAGATATTGCAGGCCCAACAGATTGATGACACTACTAATTATAACAATAAAAAAGGTAACTGGATTTTCTTAAAAAAGCTTCCAGCTCCAGCACAATATTTGTAATATATGTGTTTTTGTGTAAGCGTGTAGGGAAAATAAAACAGCTAGATAATGACACTTATTACTGAGATATACTGAACTTCACTGCACAGTGGCAACATGTCCAATTATACCACAAAGTAGTTAAAGAATTAATTTATCAGCAGTTTGTTCCAAAAGAATCCAGTCTTAAAAAGCCAGCCAATAAAGTAAAAAAACAACAAAACCTCAACAACAGCAAAAAACACCCTAGCCTTTTAACTCTTAAGAACCGATGCTAGGTTTGTAACAGAAAATCAGGTTGGATAAACAGCCAGCAACCTTTACTCCCCTGTGCACTGATGACATTACCTAGCCTGGTAATGAAATGTCGGCAAGAAGAAAAGAAAGCCCAGGGACACCAAGAATCCAACAAGGAGAGGTAAGGAAAGGAAGGCCCTGGAGAAATCAGCAGGAGGGCCACCTCACTATGCCGCACTTGAAGCCAAGAATATTGGTGGAAGTTATCCAACTGGCTGGCCTTGCCTCAAACTTTCCAGCATTTTCTTTTCCCTATCTCCAGTTAACTGCCAATCCTTGACTTCAAGTGCAGTGTAATGGGAGGGAAAGGGATCAGAGAATGGAATGGAATGGAATGTAAGTCATGGGGAAAATGGTGTGCCTGGGTCACCTGAATATGCCTCACTTGAAGCTAAGGAATTTGTGGCTGTCCCCCCAGTGCCTTCTTTCCCCTACTTCCACTTAAGTACTGATGTCCTTGGCCTTTTCCCTCTTTCCCCACCCCCAAAACACTGGATATGGGTGTTCCAGTTCAGGAACATTTTGCAGATCCTTTGTTTAAAGGCATTTTCTATTGGAAAAGCTTCCATTTGAATTTCCAGTTTGAATCCAGTTTTAGGATCAAGAGCCAGAAGAAGCAGCCTTGAAGGTATCAATCACAACTGGACAGCAAGTTGCGTTGGAGACAGAGTAGTCTTCGCAACTTGGGTGAAATATGAATTATGAATCAACGAATGAACGTCCTCATCAGTGGTAATCCTAGCAGGATTAAAGCAAACCAACCGATACAATAGAACACAATTCTATCGAGAGGAAGCAGAAACTGAGTCCAACCACCAGAATCCAACCAGCATATCAGAACAAGCTGATTGACGATCCCAAGCAACAGTTTACTTACTCCAGGGCTTCCTGCCTCTCTTTCCGTTTTTCTTCCTTTGCACGTTGTTTTTCAGCTTTCTCTTTTTCATCTTTCTCCTTTTTCTCCCTCCTTTCTTTATCCTTCAGCTCCTTCTCTTCTTCTTTCTTCCTCTTCGCCTCCTCTCGGGCACGTTCTTTCGCAGCCTTGGCTTCCTTTTTCAGTCTTCCCCTCTCCTCCCGTTTAGCTTGTAGTTTCTGAAGCTTATCTGCACGTTCTTGGTCCTTTAAAAAAAAAAGAAGAAGAACAGAAGAGGTCTTTATAGGGAATTCTTGACACAGTCATATCCCCACAGCCAAGCAGCCCAATATGTGTTAACAGGTACAAGGTTCAATCTCTGGCTTCTCCAGCTAACGGAGATCTCTCTCCAACCAAGACTGTAGAAAACAGCGATCAAGATTCTATCATTATATAGGAACCCCAAAAGCAAATGGCTTTGAAGAAGACACTATGTTAGGGGCTGTCAAAAAGATATTGCTCTTATAAGCCATTGTTTGCTTCCTCAGTAAGAAACAGGGGAGAGGGAGCTCTCCTGTATTGTGAAAACCACCACAATCCTGATGTGACTGATTTATAATCCATCTGGCAAATATTAGCTAGAAAAAATGACTGTATGCGTAATTCCTTGGCTGCATAAAGGCACCTTCTAGATTGCACTATTTCAGGATGCAGGCTGACTACAGGTAGTCCTCACTTAACAACCCTAATAGGGCCAGCAACTGTCACTAAGTGATGCGGTCATTAAGTGAAATGTCACGTGACCACTCTGCTTAGCAATAACAGTTCTGGCAATCCCCGTTGCTATCGTTGAACGAATCCCACCCAGATCCAAGCCATTATTGGAAGAAGGTGAGGGTTTGCCTCTTCAACTCTCCCGCATCGACTATTTCATGACCATCTCTGCCCTTTTGGCCGCCCACCTATCTGCCGCCTCCCCACCACCTGGCCTTGCCTGCCACTGCATTGCACGCCACTACCGGCTGGGGCCTTCTTTCGCGCCAGTGCAAGCTGGAGCCTTCTTTTGCACACTGACCAGGTCCTTCTTTCGCGAAAGGAGCCCCAGATGGTAGCAGCACAGCACAACCCCACCTGCCCGTAGCTCTCACCCATTGGCCTGCGGGATGTTTCCACAGCGCCTACCCTGCACATGGCTGGGATGGTGAGCCCAGCAGAGGGGAGGCAGGTGAAGATGACAAAGGTCAGCTCTCTCTCTCTCTCTGTGGATGTATGGTTGTAAATGTAGGCAGGCCCAAATTTTGTTCACTTGACTGTGGGGGCAATGTGATGGATGGAACTTCGAAGACTGGTCATAAGTCCCTTCATTCAGTGCCGTTGTAACTTTGAACACTTGCTGAACGAATGGTCGTTAAGCGAGGACTATCTGCATGTTCATAGGCTGACTGAATAAAACAACTTTCCACATCATAGGTATCACCAGCTTGGTTAATTCAGCGGAAAGGTTTAAACTCACACAACTATATGCTTCACTTCTTGTCTCTTATTCTTATCCCTTTTAAAATTATCTGTCCTTCAAAATTAAAGCGAAATCCTATTAATTCTGGGAGATCTCTGAAGGAAGTGTTGGTGTGGCTGCCACCATCAAATCCTTTCCTGGTTTGCTTGTTATTTTTTTTTCTCCTCTCTTTTTTTTATCCGTCAGAAGTAACATGACTAGGTGGAACATGGGGAAGACAGAACAACACAGTCACTTTGTTAACATTGAAACAAAGAAACAATTAAGTAACTAAAAGGGGTTACAAACAAGTTTTGTTAATAGAATAACATACCTATAGTCTGCTGATCTTTGCCTTCCTTGGCACTAAATATATTCTTAACCCTATCACTCTGATAGGTGGAGGTTTTCACAGGCTAGGACTCTGAACCTCATTCAAACCTGTCCTTCCACCCACATCTCCCAAATCATCGTCTCTGTAGTTCCCTCTCCTTCCAGGATATAACTGGAAGGAGGTGTTTTGCTTGGACTGGTAATTCAATCATTGCAACCTCCAGCCCCCAAACAGAAATAGCAAAACGTGTGATGTCCCACTTGCTACTGGATATTGCCAAGTCCAGAAAGAGCTGTATCACATAACAACTTTGATTATACAAACTAGCACTATCAAAGTAGCATATTAGCCATAAAAACCTGGAAGATATGGGATGCCGGAAGAGGCCTTTTACTAAGTCAGGCCACGTTCCATCTGATTTCATAGTGTCTTCCCCAGAATTTAGATCTTTTCTGGCCTAGTTGGAGACGTGGGACTCCATAGAAGCTAGGACTTTCTTGCCTGCCGAACAGGTGGCTCTGAGCTGTTCCAGCAGGCAAAGTTTATGACTTATTAGGGAGGTGCATGCTTCAAAAACATTGTGGAAGAAGCACTTCAGACCTCATAAAAGTAGAAAATCTCTCTGCTACTCATTAAAGCAGGCTTTTCTCAGGCTTCTGTGCTTGAACAGCTAGACTGCTAAAGTGACTGGTTACGTGCCATCAAGTCGGTGTCAACTCTTAGCAATCAGAGATAATCTGCTAAAGTAGCTCATATTTTATTGGGCTTTCATGAAAGCCTTTAAAAAAAACAAAACAGGCTGCTTTAGTGATGACCAAGAAGTTCCTGTCATTAAAGCCATTTAATGCTATCTTTCACATCACTTTCTAAGCATGCACACTTTTCAGTACCAAAAGCACAGCAAGTAAACTCAGTCAGTGGAACCGTCTTACCTTCTGTAGCTTGAGTTTCTCCTTCTCCTCAGAACTTCGATGGACTTTCGGAGAAGCCTGAAATTGGAAGGATGGAGCAGTTTATAGCATCAGCATTCCTTTAAGCAACCAAAATTAGGACTAGGATTTATACATAGCACAAACCATAATGGGGTGTTTTGGTTGTGAAAACCCAGCCACTTTGCAAGCTGTCACTTATAGCATGATGCATTTTATTCAACAAATCACAGGTAAGGGAACTATGTATTAGCACAAAGTGTGAATCAGATCAAAGAGTCACTTTTGGCATCTTAAAAGACCAACAGATTTATTATGGCATAATACAGTAATCTGAATTCCTCATCCATTCTTTAAGAAACAGGGCAAGCACAAGTCTACCTTCTGAAACCAATGTTTCAAAATGCATCTTGTGCATATAGATACAGAATGCAAGGCTCTCCTTCCGCCCATTCTTGTGGGGCTGCACTTGGCAACACCAAGCTGCATTTAATAGCTTTTGTAAAAAGAGAAACACTGGGAAGTTTTTTGAGGGTAGAGTCAGGTAGTTACACCTATCAATTTTCTACTTATCTTCAAAAATCATAACACAGAAAACTGAATTTTTGGGTAAGGTGATTAGAAAAGCAGCTTTGGCACATGGAGTCTGCAATGAATTCCAGCCCTACAACATGGATGAGAAGACCTCCCAAAAGCCCTCCTCATTCAGAGATGGGCTGGGACTACATCTCCCATAATTCTTACCCAGCAGCTATAATGGAAGCTGTAGTCAAGACCATGTTAGGGAAAGCTGCCTTTGAACAACATAGCCTTATTCATATTATTTGCTAGTTTCACACTCCTTTATTTTGTGCATTAATTAAAAGAATTAATACAGGTTTTAAAGTATACAGCAAACAAAATCAACCTATCAAGTAATTTGAAGACAGTACAAAATTAATTTCTATCATGATAACTCACAGCTTTTCAGAGCCTTTCAAGTCTCAAACTGTAAACCAAGCAGCAGTATAAACTGACTTACGCTATATTTCAAGGACATACCATTGCAAATAAACAGGATGTAAGAATAAATAAAAGAGTAGGGGTTTATTTAGCCACTATAGTTCCTCATTATAATTATATCTAATTGAATATTCAACCATAATGTCTAACTGAATATTCAACTGCACTGATCTATAAGAATATTCATCCTGTGTCTCTAAAAACATTTTTATTTTCCTTCAACTTAATAATCTTATATACTACTTCCAAAGGCAAATATTCTCACTAGCAAAAGATGCTTCCACTTTATTATTAATATGGAGATCTGTAATATTTTCATTAAGATAGTATTACACCAAAGACCATCCAGAAAAATATAGCATATAAATCCAGTATATCTACTATCTTAAACTGAAGGCAAAATGCAAATGCAGCATCTCCCAGAGAACTAGATTTGGTCTGTTTGTTGCCATAGTTCAATGACAAATATACAAAAGTGGACCCCAGTGTGACAGAAGGAATACGGTATCAGGCATTTTCAGTAAAACAGGCATCAGATGCATGAAGCAGGAATTTCTAAAACAAAGGCATGTCCTACTGACTCTATTTTGTATCTTCCTTGCAGCACAATATTTAAAAATACAAACTAATTGTGCATAAGGTACCTGATTTTCTTGAAAGTGTATCAGCCAAGCATTCTATAATGCATTTATTTCACCAAGCAAACTCCTAGTCCCGCTAGCTTGCTCATATGGCTTTAAAATGTTTCATTTTACCACTATGGCAAACAGGCAAAGCAAGAAAACGTATTTGCAAGATGACTTAAAAATCAATAGGATTTTCATCTGAACATTTTGAAGGGGGATGAAAGGATGGAGATTATGTTTTGCAATGTTTGAGAGTTGCTGTTCTGGCTATCCTTCAAATGAAAGGATAACCCTGCCTCCCAATTCCAGTTGGTTAGAATAAACATGAGAAAACATACCCCATTAACTTTCAACAGGAGCAGGAAAAGGGATTATGTCTCAGCAGCAGCAGAGAGCTAACCCAACCCGGCTTGGCCTGAATTTATATCAAGGCAAGAATCTTCTCCAACTGTTTCCATGAAGGCTATTTATTCCAGCTGTGGGCCCATTAGTTAAACAACTTAAAATGAAAAAAAATGCAGTAAATGAACTTAGAATTGCCACGAGTGCAAATCGTATTGGCACTGTGACCTCCCTTCAAGACTTTCCCATCCTTATTTGAAATCAAGAAAATAAACATTGCCAGCTAACCAAGGTTTGGCCAATTGAACAATTCAGGACTTTGCTTCAAACCAAGTAACATGCTTGGTTTGAAGTGAAGCTGAATGAAACTAACATATTAAAAACATTGTTTTTTAATGCTGGGACAGCAGCAAACAAATCAGTTTATATCCCAAAGGCCTGTGAATATTTTCCAAAAACAATACAGGGAACCTTACTACTAGCTGGAGAGCTTCATAATATAATGGCTATCTGAAAAAAAACACAGGCAACATGCCACATTACACAGCTCAGAGACCCAATAAAAACAAAACAGAGCAGCTTTTTTAAAAAAATTACCCACTACAGTACAGGACACTTTGGAGAAGTTGACATCCATCATACCAATTCATGCATTACACTAAGTCAGCAGTGAGTAAACCTTGGCTCATATTTAGCATTTCCAGCTGCCTATTTGCTTATGCAGTTAGGGTTAGGGATGAAATTTTCAGACCCTTCTGAGTTTTTGGTGGAAAGGGGCAGATTTTAAGAAGCAAAGAGTGTGCCTTTAGTGCTACAGAACACAGCCATAGATGTATACTAGTTAGCAGCATAAACCTTCTGTGCCACAAGGTACAGGGATAGCTGGAAGGGGACACATTTAGCAACTGGACCTTGTGCTTCCCACAGCCCATATATGTGGCATATCTGCTGACTCAGCACAAAGTTCTATGTACTGTATGCCTTTCTAAAGAAAACACTGGATGTTAACAAGCTTGCTTCATTACAAGCAAGCTTGAATCCTAACATATCAAGCTGTATTGTAACATACAATCCTCTTACTCTTCACCTAATATTTTTTGGCTGGTGGGCTAGATGTTCTCACAAAGGAATTTCCAAACCGTTTCCTGTAATCACTGAAAAATATTCACATTATTCCACTAGAAGTTATCTATAGACAGCATTTAATGGCCCATAACCACTGGGATTTAAAGGAAATTCCACAGCACAACCTGTTCCTTTTGGATTGTTTCCCTCCCTATCACACACACATATGATATCTGCTCTGTGGAACAGCTAGTTCTATGGAAATGAAGTGCTGGGTTTTATTCCCGTGAGACTGAAGATTTTGAACCTATTGTCCTCAGCATGGCATACTTACTGTATTATTTTTCTTTTATAAATATACTAATGCTACATTGAAAGCCAGTTACCGTGACTTTTAGTTCCGCCTTAGGCACAAAGCCAGCTGCGTGACCTTGGGCCGGTCACACTCTCTCAGCCATAGGAAGCAGACAGTGGCAAACCACTTCTGACATCTTGCCAAGAAAACTGCAGGGACTTGTCCAGGCAGTCGGCAGGAGTCAACACTGACTTGAAGGCGCGCACACATACATGTACAAAGTTACATTATTAATACAGTACAGCTCCTCCACTGCAAATTTTCAAAGTGGCATTTCAAAGCTCATTCCTTCTTGTTCCCTAAAGTCCATTCTCATTCTCCAAGTTAAATCCAATAATTGGAATAGCTTAAAGCTAACTTAGAAACTCTGGGCAGTTTCTTAGTCACTGGGAGTTGGACAGCATATACATTTAATAAGTTATTATTATTCTACAAATGCCCTCAGATTTGATAATTTTCTGGAATCCTGCATGCTATAGTGAAAACTTTTCCATTCTATATTATTTTTCCCACAGAAATATTCACAAAACATTTTCAGTTTCTAAAAGTGCACTATCTCATAAAACTGTGCACCCTTCATAAAGAGAATCGATTTGTCAGCACCTTACCATATTTAGCAATATGCCAAAATCACTTTCCAAGTAAAAATATCCTGTATTATTTTAGCAGGCTTCTGTTCATGCAACAGGTTTTTCTTTATAGCATTCCCCCTGTACCCCAAATCTATTTCCAACAATTTAGGGGAGAGTGTGCAGGAATTACTAAGGAATAATCAGGAACTTCATAGGAAGTTGCCTCATAACTGCTCAAATACTTGCCAAGAAAGCTTTCTCCCTGTGTAGAACTGCCTTAGTATATTTAGTACCTGCCACCCCCACCCCCCAGGTTTAGCACATCCTTTGAACACTTATTTGACTTCACCCAGAAAGGAACATATTTTTAAATTGCCATACAGAGTTTCTAGAATGCCTTCTCAGAGTGCTGTTCACAAAACATGCTTAATTAGGTCAGATATAAACTGAGCAGGTGTTTTTAACCATGTAAACCTTCACAAGTGTTAACTTTGTATTCATTTGTGTCTTGGAATATTGTCCAAAAGTTGGACTCTGAAGAAACTGGATCGAAAGAGTATTGATGCTTTTGAATTCTGGTGTTGGAGAAGACTCCTGAGAAGACCATGAACAGCCAAGAAAACAAACAAATGGATCACAGAACAAATCAACCCAGAGTTCTCACTCAAAGCACAAATGAGCAGCCTCAAATTATCCTACAGTATTTCAGACACAAGATATGAAGACCTAGAAGAGGATGACCAGCAGCAAGGTGGAGAGACCCAGTTACAGGGGCAACGGGTGTATCCCTGGGAGACGTGAAGGATTGGCCAAGGATAGATTGCCATGCAGAAAATCTATCGAGGTAGCTACTAAGGGTCAACACTGATTTCATGAGATATAATTAATCGATCAGTGTTGTGTAAACCAGTCCACACTGAATATATCGTGCAAACTGAGAAAATAGGCTAATTTAGTAACCAAGTTAAACTACTTGAATAAACCAAACCACTTTTATTATTTGTTGTTTAAAAAAACCTATTATTTTAATTTTTTTTAAAAAACTATTTTATTACATTTAGATGTATATTTATTTCTCTATATTACCTGTATTGCACAACAGGCAATATCCAACTATTTTTATCTAAATAAAAGCACAATTTGTTTTTTAAAAAATCGTAACACCTGCAAAATGGATAAATGACAAAGGCAAAAGGTTGGCGAAAACAGAAATTCTCTCCAAGACTGCTAAGGAAAGTTTATTTCTACCTTGCCCAAACAAATTGCAATTTTTACCATTAAGTTGCTTCCCTGAAACAGATACTAACCTTCCAAACTGGTGTTGAAGCAGCTAATGGATTAACGTTATGCTCCTTGGTGGCCAGAGATTCAGGAGAGCTGGTAAGAGAGAGAGAACTTAAGGAGGAATTTGTACATGGCGTGTCCACTTCAGGACAAGATTCCATGGTTTCATTTTCAGAAGCCAGGCTCCTTTCCAAAGATGCAGCTTGAGGAGATCTGGCTGCCAAGATATCCTCCAGAACCACGACAGGCATTTTCTGTTCAAATATGACATTTTGGGGTTTGTCCTCCTTGGAAATATTAGTTCCTATCTCAGTTGACACCAGACTTGATAATTCCTTATTTGTTACATCTAGGCAAGTTTCTAAGCAAGGATCTACCTGGTTGTTACATGTGGAATTTTGGAAACCAGGCTGGCCTTCTTTCTCCTTTGAAGTTTCCTCCAAAGATGCTACTCTGTTGTTGGACTTGGGACAGCCCGTGTTATCATTCAGTCCGTGATGAGGGTCCCCCGTCAAGTCTATTAAGAGCACAGGCTGACTTGTATCATACTTTATACTTTTCTGCACAAAGTTATCTAGTGGCCCCTTGCCATTAACCAGTTTTGGAACATGCGTTTCAGTTTCTTCCTCACAGCTGTTTTCCACATTGTCCGGTAATGGATGCGGCAAAGCAGGACAAGGTGTGTTTTGATCGAGAATGTTCTGCAAACTCCTGGCTTTTTTAACGTCAGGGTTTGTGTCAAGTTTCTCCTTTGGTATGGGATTCAAGCGCTTGAAAGGCAATCGAGCTGGAATAATAAGATCAAGAAAATGAACATTATTATTTATTTTATTTTTATGGCCGCCCATCTCATTTAAGCGACTCTGGGCAGCTCACAACAGGTAAAAACAACAATCCAATAAAAGCAAGTTAAAAAACCAATATACAAACATATAAATCAATCAATAATAATTTTTAAACAAAAACAATTGTGATCAGTGGCAAAATCCCTCCTTACATCAACTCAACCCATGGGGCAGTTTACAACTGATTTTTACTTCCTGCTTCAAATTATTTAAATGTAATGTACAGGTCCATCTTATTTATAAAAATACATTTTAAAAAATGGAAAATTAAACATTTAGTATCACAATATTTCCTATGTGGGATAGTGTGTTTTACATACATTAGAGTATTTGATTCCTTGGGCATGAAAGCTGGCTGAGTGACTTTGGCCCAGCCACTCTCTTTCAGCTCAGCCCACCTCACAGGGTTGTTGTTTTGGGGGAAATAGGATTAGATGTGTTTGCCACCTTGTGTTATATATATAAAAAGGAGGAATAAAAATATAATAATAATCCCTACAGCAAAATATATCAGTTTCTGGCCCAGGCCAATCTCTTAACATCTGACCAAGAAAGGAATCTTGCAGTAGAAAAATATTCTTCAGCTACAAGCTCTTGTGAGGAAGGAAAATGCCATGCTGGGGATCATTAGGAAAGGAATCGGAACGGAAACTGTCAACATTTATTACCCTTGTACAAATGCTTGATAAAAAGACTACTATCAAGATAAAAAGGTATCCAAATGATATACTGTAGGACTGATTCTCAACCTTTTCCTTTAGATGGACTACTACCAACATCATCAAAAGCTTTTGATGATTATCACATAAGCCAAAAGACAGAATGCCTGCAGATATTACCCATACATCCTCTTCAAATGACATCTGCAGAACTCCAAATGAAATAAAAATATTTTATTCTTCAAGACCAAAAATTAACATGGTTGCTAAATCACGTGAGATGTTTGTGTTCTTACCCAGACGTATGAGATTTTGGTTGTCTGACACCCATATCAGGGACTACTTGAAGTTGTCAGGCTCTTGGGGAACTGCCTAAAACTGAGGGTGATTCTTTTCCAAGCACAATTCTCACAGAGTTCTCATTAGCAAGACTTATTGAGAAGAGATGGGATTACAAGAATTCTAGCAACTGAACTTTTTCCCATTTAGAACCAATATATTTCCATGTACATTATGGCAGAGAGTTTCTGATTTTCTTTCTTCCTGTAATCCAGTAAGGAGACAGGTCTCTTCACTAATAATGGAGAAGCTTGTAGCTGGCTGTTAACATTACAGTCTCCAGACTATTCGTCAGCCTGGAAACCAACGTTTATGGATGTACTTTCACAGTCCATCAGTGGATCCTGGAACAGAGACTACAAACGACTGAATTTGGATATGAGGAACATCCCTGACAAAAATTTACAATGTAAGGAAAAGGAGTGCATGGTTCAAATGTGGATAATTTTTTCTCTGTTAAAATACTATAAGCTGGAATCATCCAAAGAAACTAAACCAGGAGAGTCTGGACAGGTAAAGTACCTTTTTTTCAAATAGGGCATAATTAAACCGTGGAATTCACTTCTATCAAATGGAGCGATGGCAACTTGGATAGCTCTGAAGGAGGATTAGGCAAATTCATGGAAAACAAAGTGGTTGAAGGCTACTAAGGATGACTGATACACATTATCTTCTATATCAGACTCATTAAGCCTCTTGGTAGGAGTTGCTAGGGAACATGAGTGGGAGAATATCACACAGGTGATATTGAGATACTGGGCTTCCCCAGCATCTAACTGACCAATGTGGGAAGAAGTGACTGGATGAGAAAGACTTTATGGTTTGAACCAGTTCTTATGAAACATAGGAGGTTGGGGACCAAAGGAAATACTTTTTTGAAAGCATACACATCTTTCAAATCACCAGAGCCTTTTAAAACATAATTAAATTTTAACCAAGCCTAGACTCTATTTACTATAGCTTCCCATTCTGAAATAATTGTTTGATTCTGCCTCCAACTAGAAGGAAATATTGTTGAATTTTTAATTTTTATGTTGTATTTTGCTATCCAGAGATCTATTAATAAATAAATGTTCAAATTTATTTATTAATAGATAAATTTATTTGAATTTTCAAATAAATTCAAACTTTACTGACAATGAAATTTATTGCTACAGGACACAGAAAATGCTGCCAATTTAGCTCCAAAAGGGAATTTCGACAAATTCAAAAACAATAAAGCTATCAATACCAGCTATGAGTTACAGTGGTTCTGTATCCACCATACTTTCTCTGGTATCAGAGACAAATAATATAGCTGAATTCAGACATAACCTTAAGCTATGTGGTTACTTCCTTTTGACTTAGAATGTTATATAAAGCAGCCTACTGGCATTATTAAACCATGATTTACTGCTTAGTAACAGGAATAAGCCCAACCTACTATAGCTTATTCCACATACTTATACAAATTCTGACTTAGTATAATGCTTGACCTCTTAATATGAGTACCTAGATTCCTAAGTACAGTAAGCTATTACCACTCATCCCACAGCTCAAGCAAGAATGCCCAGTTTTAAAGGAGACCTGGGCTTCTGACTTTGCAGATGCACTAATAGTTTAACGGGGGATTATCTTGAAGTCACTGCCCACATCAGCACTGTTCAGGACTCTCCCGACCAAGACCAAGATTAACTGATATCTGCCACCTCAGCCAACAAGGTTAACAGAAGAAAGGACCCAACCCCAGTGTTCTCGCAGTCCAATTTCTGCAACACCATGAAAGGATAAAGGTACAAAACACAGAGCTTGAATGCAAATAGTATTACAACTCCATTTAATATCAAAAGCATAAGGCAGAATTGAAAAAAACAGATCATATATTTTGAGAGGAAACAAGTTACCTTGGATTAGCTTCCGGGCTGGAACTCCTGCTTTATTTCGACACTCCATAGTTGCCTAGCAAAGGCAGATAACCATTAAATTTCCATAGACATTCAGAACAAATATAATGCTGGTCACCTCAGATTATTAATTCACGATGGCCTTTGCCCAATCCTTCTTTGGATCACTCAGTTCTGTTCACCAGGCACCAAACCCCTCTTGTCATTAAACCACACACGCATATATACGTACGCACGACAAAATTAACACTTCCCGGTTCTGATTCACCTAATATACCCAGTACCTTGCCTGGATTTAGTTTAAGCCAGCCACTGCAATTTGCAAGCCATGGTTGAGGCCTTAAGGTGCTGAGGGAACCCCTGGGGGACAGTATTTCCACGTGTCCCCCCAGCATCCGATTTTGCTACCATCCCCCTCCCTGGGCCAGTCCCTGCTTCCTTTGCTCAGTTCCCCCCATCAACACCCATTTCCCCCCAGCACGCAAGAGGGGGTTCCCACGACGCATTTAACTTGTCCCGTGGTTTAAGCCCTGCTCGGGGTTCACACGACGCCTCGAACCCCAGGCTCAACCCAGGGGTAAAGCCCTCAGAGCCGACGAGGCCTGTGCGGCGAGTCCTGCCTCAGTTTCCCTGCTGCCCTCTCTCGCCCCCCGCCCGTCTGCCTGCCTCAGTTTCCCCTCAGCGACCCCTGCCCGCCCGCTTCAGTTTCCCTTCAACGACCTCTCCCGCCCGCCTGCCCCAGTCCCCCCCCAGAGCCCCCTCCCCGCCTCAGTTTCCCCGCCCGCCCGCCTGCCCCAGTCCCCCCCCAGAGCCCCCTCC